TAGTTTAACTCAGCGTACGTCGTCGATCTGCGACGGTCGGTAACGGTCGGTAACGGTCGGTAACGGTCGGTAACGGTTGGTTGTGGAAGGCTCGTTTGTCAGATTTGGCTCTGTAATTTTCTCGTAGGGCCGTTACCGACCGAGCCCGAAATCGGCTTGCCACCGTTACCAGGCGCGACTGGTCGCGACCGAAAATTTTTCGGTAACAGTCGGTATCGGTCGTTCCCACCCGCGCCCGAAAATTGTCGGTCGCGCATGATCTGGGCATGCGATGTCTGGGCATATAGGAGGCCTCCGGACGGTCTCGGACTCGAGGCCCGAGGCTCTCGGGCGTCATGCGTCGCTTCTCGGCGCTTCCCCTGCCCCCCGGGACTGTGCACCTCCAGCAACAGCTGCGCCTCGCTATAGAGGAGGGAGGTTTGCCGGGGCGTGCCCGCACCGGCCCGAGCGGCCGCCGGGGAGGCCCGCAATTGTGGCCCGGAGCGAGGCCAGGACCGCGGCGGGGCCTTTGGGCGTTCGGGCGGCCTCCTTAAAACGACGCGAAGATCGGGACAAAATCGGATCGGGATAACTCGAAATCTCTGAGAATCGGCGGGTTTGGAGGATGTATTGGGCGCCGCGGCCGCTCCAGAGCGTTCCGGAACGCTCTGAGAGCGCTCCGGAACGCTCTGGAGCGATTTATCCCGATCCTAGCTTTGTTTTAAAAACACACAGGCACAATTCTTCATCGTCGACCCCCCCCGGAAAAATCTGGGAAACTATACTGGAAGTGGGGGGCGAGACCAAAACCCGGAAAGCATGGGCACAGAGTTGGAATCCTGGGAATCGTGTCTGTTTGTTTTTCCCGCGCTCCCTTTGCCTAATTCGTCTCTGCGTAGCCCGCTTTGACCTGACACGCCGCCGGCGCGCTCGCCGCTCGCCCGCGGCCGCTGCCCAAAAATAATATGTACTTCTGCGTCCCAGGGCCACTTTTGTGGGGCCTCGCAGAGAGGCGGCCTCGCGGCCAGGGCCTGGCGCAGCGCGGAGGGCTGGCGGCCACCGAGAGGGCCCGGAGAGGGCCGGGGGGCGGCAGCCATGGGAGCGGGCGTGGGCGAGGGGGCGGGGCGAGGAGGCACGGCGAGCAGCTGCTCGGGCGGCAGGGGGCCGGAGGGAGCAAGAGCACACGGGCAGAACGAATCGTCCATCCCCCAGGAAAAATGTGGGAAAATATGGGGGGAGGTGGGGGAGGAGGCAAAAACCCGGAATTTGTGGGGAAATGCGGGGAACCTTTTTATTTGTGTGTATTTGTGTGTGTGTGTGTGTGTCCCAGGGCCCCTTCAAGGGGGCCGGATAGAGGAAGAGGGGGGGGTGCAAGCCCTGATCGGGTCGGACGAACGGGTGGGCAGTGCGGGGAGGGAGGGGTGCGTAGATTGCTTGAAGTCGGGCCTGTCCCTCTACAAGAGGAGTATTCAAGGATGGTTTAAGCAAGGTTTTGGACGACTTGTTTGAATCATCTATTTACCGTTTTTATTACATCATCCGGGCAAAGCAACCTAACAGCGATGTGTAGGAGCATATCTGGAAGCATTCCCCTTAAAATTCTGATGAGAATCCAGTTGTAGAATTCTGCTGTTCTCGCAGTCGTAGTCGCATTCGCGATGACTGTCGCAGTGGCAACGGCAGTCGCAGTCACAGCCTCAGCCTCAGCCTCAGCCTCAGCCTGCTTCAGCCTCAGCATCAGTCTGCCTGCAGCCTCGGCCTCAGCCTCAGCCTGCCTCAGCCTGAGCCTCAGCCTCAGCCTCAGCCTCAGCCTCAGCCTCAGCCTGCCTCAGCCTCAGCCTGCCTCAGCCTCAGCCTCAGCCTCAGCCTCAGCCTCAGCCTGCTTCAGCCTCAGCCTCAGCCTGCCTCAGCCTCAGCCTCAGCCTCAGCCTCAGCCTCAAGCTCAGCCTCAGCCTCAGCCTCAGCTCAGTCTGCCTTCAGCCTCGGCCTCAGCCTCCGCCTGCCTCAGCCTCAGCCTCCAGCCTCAGCCTCAGCCTCAGCCTGCCTCAGCATCAGCCTGCCTCAGCCTCAGCCTCAGCCTGCCTCAGCCTCAGCCTCAGCCTGCTTCAGCCTCAGCCTCAGCCTGCCTTCAGCCTTGCCTCAGCCTCAGCCTCAGCCTCAGCCTGCCTCAGCCTCAGCCTCAGCCTCAGCCTCAGCTCAGCCTGCCTCAGCCTCAGCCTCAGCCTCAGCCTGCTTCAGCCCTCAGCAGTCTGCTCAGCCTCAGCCTCAGCCTGCCTCAGCCTCAGCCTGCCTCAGCCTCAGCCTCAGCCTGCCTCAGCCTCAGCCTCAGCCTGCTTCAGCCTCAGCCTCAGTCTGCCTTTAGCCTCGGCCTCAGCCTCGGCCTGCCTCAGCCTCAGCCTGCCTCAGCCTCAGCATCAGCCTGCCTCAGCATTCAAAATGTGGCCCGGGAATGGAGTTCTGGGAACTCGAAGAAACGAAGTGGCCTACAGTTGGCTCCGGGCATTCAAAATCATGCCCAGGAATGGAGTTCTGGGAACTCAGAGACCACGAAATGGCCTACAGTTGGCTCCAGGCATTCAAAAACATGCCCAGGAATGGAGTTCTGGGAACTCGAAGACCACGAAGTGGCCTACAGTTGGCTCCGGGCATTCAAAATCATGCCCAGGAATGGAGTTCTGGGAATTCGAAGAACACGAAGTGGCCTACAGTTGGCTCCGGGCATTCAAAACCATGCCCAGGAATGGTGTTCTGGGAACTCGAAGAACACGAAGTGGCCTACAGTTGGCTCCGGGCATTCAAAACCATGCCCAGGAATGGTGTTCTGGGACCTCGAAGAGCACGAAGTGTGTAACTGTTTGCTTAAAACGACTTCCGCGGCTTCTCCCCGGCACCCGCCCAGACCCCCTTGGGGAGTCAAGATGCTTTCTTTACTAGAAACCTATCAGTTTTCGCTGTTAGGTAAAAAAGAAAACATTTTTCGTCCAAACCAAAATCCGCCTGTAGGAGGACGTGCCCGACCTAGAGAATGCTGCACGCAGCTGCTTGCCGCACCGCCGCCGGGCGCTCCTCGATCCATGGGCTCCTCCGGCGCCTGGAGGCGCTATCGGACAATCGGCCACGCGAGCTGATTCGCTAAGCCCCGCCCCCGCCGCTGACCCCCCTCCGCTCCCAGACCCCCTCGCGCTGTGAAAAAAATCATGACGTCGGGGGTCTGGGCTGTCTCCCCCCGCCCCCCGCCCTCCTGCCTGTTCAGAGACCCGTCTGGAAGCCTCCATCGGACAGGGCGAGGACGAGGATGAGTCCGTTCACAGCTCGCCGGAGCGTTCCTCAGAAAGCGTTCTTGCGACGCTCTGAGAAGGCCTCGGCGCCCGAGGTATCCTCCACAGCCGCCGGTTCCCGAAGATCCCGGTGGACCCTCACCCGAAGTTGTTCTCGCCCTGGCTTCGTCTTACTGCAAGGCAGAGCCATCCAGTGGAGACCCATGCCAAGAAGCATCCTGCTTGCCTCCAGGGTGCCCAGGGTGTATTGGGATTTTGCGACGGAGAGGGTGACGTTCCTGCTCCAAAAATCTATGGACGTTTTGGGGTCTCAGGGTTTGGTTTTTTTGTTGACTATTTTGAGTATTGTTGGCTATCGTTGGGCATTTTTGGATTACTTGTTATTCTTCCTTCAAAATCCGCCTGCAGGAGGACATGCCCGACCTAACTTTGCAGTCGGGGCCCATGCCAAGAAACACCCTGCTTGCCTCCAGGGTGCCCTGGGGTTCGACGGTTTTGCGACGGAGAGCGTGACGTGACACCAAAAAATCAGTAGGCGTCCTAGGCCTCAGGGTTGGCCTAAGAGACGGGGGTCAGTGCAAACGGGGGTCAGCCAGAGCGCCAGATCCTGCAGGATCCTGCGAAGGCCCCCTCTGGCTGACCCGGGTTAGCGAGCCGCTCGTGGCCGCGAGGCGGCCGCTCGTATTGGCTGACCCGGGTTTGCGAAGACCTGCGCTGCAGTTTTTTTTCTTGCATTGCAGTTTTTGGTTTCTTGCTCACCCGGGTCTGGATTGACCCGGGTCAGAAGATCCTCGACTTGAGGGCCCTGCCCACTCCAAGGCAGAGCCATATACACTCCCAAGAGGACCCCCCCTTGCGGCCCTGGGGGCGCTGCACGAAAACAGTGCGCTCCAGGAGGGGCTGCAAGTATGCTGATGATTCGGGCGGTGTTTCGACTATGTTTAAGTCGGGCTTGTCCCTGTGCAGGAGGAATACCCGAAAATAGTTTAAATAATAGTACTGGGACGGTTTCTGTTTAAACATATTGATTATGTTTGAACATTTGGGGGGTCTGTGTTTTTTCGTCCCAAATCCGCCTGCAGGAGGACACTCCCGACCTGAAAATTAATTCTCTGGGTTCTGAGCAGATGCGAAGCCATTCGGTAATCACTGGATCGAAGATCGGCAGGTCCCCCCCGTAGGTCTCTCTGGGTCTCCCCCGACAGGTGTTCCCCCATAGGTCTCCCTAGGTCTCGCCCTCGAGGATCGACGTAGTCGGCACCTCCTCCTCGGCGGATGGCCGCGGAAGCAACACGGGGGCGGGTCCGCCGGCGGAAGCCGGCTGAAGGCCTCCTCCTCCTCCTCCTCCTCCTCCTGAAGGCCGGGGGAAGGCGACGGAGGAAGAGTCTGTTTTCTTCTGGATGCCGAGATTCCCCCAATGGGCTTGCCTAAGGGGTCCTCACTTGGTTAATGGTTGGTGTCTCGAGCTGTTACTTTGCCCGTTGCTCGGAGGTTCCTCGGGTTCCCCATGTTCCCCAGGTGCCTATGCCAAGCAGAGTCAAGCAAAGCCAAGCAATGCAAAGCAATGCAAAGCAATCCCAAGCAATCCCAAGCAATGCCAAGCAATGCCAAGCAATGCCAACAAATCCCAAGCAATTCCAAACAATGCCAAGCAATGAGAAGCACTGCGCCGATGCAATAGGAAGCTTTCCCCTGATTGGAGTCGCACCAGGTTCGTGTTTGGATTCAGGGTCTCCGGAGCAGGCTACATGTGACCAGTTCGACCTTGGCCGTCAGCGAAGACGACGTGGACATGCGACCAGCCAGCAACATCACGACGACGCTCAAGTTCACGGCGAAAGATATCTTCGAGTCCGAGGACCCCATCGGCATCATAAAACAGAGATCCATGACGATGGGCAAGGAGATCGAGGAGTTCCCAAGGCACCTCGAAGAGATGTGGAGGTCCAATGCCGACGTGCTGCACACGCTGCTGCCCGGGCTCAAGCTCCGAACTAGCAGCACCCACGTGCTGCCAGCGGTCCTCCTCTCTGCCGTGCTGTGGCTGGGCTTCTACTTCGCCGAGCTGTACAGGGACGACCACGTGGAGCACCGCTTCCCGGAGTGGGAGCCCCGGGGCGATGCCCTGAAGCCCCAGGTGGCGCCATCTGCGCTGGACTGCGCCGACGTCGTGCTCGTCTTCCACCATCCGGACTTCGAGCACCCCGACCATGGCCAGCAGGTGCCAGTCGCCGTGCTGAGGGATGCGCTCATGTGCGACAAGGCGCGCTCCACCGAGGATGCAGAGCGCGTGAGCGACCTCTTCTGCAATTTTAAGGCGTTTCTGGAATCCGGCGCTGGGGACAGAGACAGTGACCTAGAGTCACTTGAGGAGCCGCCGCCTAGATTGATCCGCAAGGAGACCATCGCCAGGGAAGTGAGCAACAGGGCCATCGCCGCTGGTCACAGAGCCGCGGGCGTCATGAATAGAGCCACTGGTGGGGCTATCAATAGAGCTATCGGCCTGGCTGGAGGAAAGGTCATGATCGATGCGCGCATCGCACTGTTACAGGACATGTTCGAATGCCTGCCCACGCGGGGGTTTGACGTTAGCATTTTCAGTTCTGTCGACAGCGACGAACTATTCCTGACAATCAGCCTTAACAGGCGACAGTGGGTCTCTCATTACCTCTCTGAGTCAAACCTAGAGTTTCAGATCACCCACTCGGTGGTCAAGGCGCTTGGCGTTGGGCAGGACCCACGCGATCCGAACTCGTCTCCACCATTTATACCTTATCCAGCTGCCTGCGGCGAGTAGTCCCTCCTCCGTGCCAGCCTAGCATTGTGGGTGGCGACTGTTCGAGGGGGCACGGGAGGCCGTCATGTGTGACACCTCCGCAGGCTTGGGAGAGATGTGATGAAAATAATGAGGATAGTGAGGATGCTGGAGATGATGGTGGTGATGATGCTGATGATGATGATGATGATGATGATGATGATGATGATGATGATGATGATGATGATGATGATGTTGTTGAGGACGATGATTCTGATTAGGCTTATGAGCATGATGATTATGATCGGGTAGCCACTTACAGGGGCTCAGGAGCGGCGCTACACTTACTCTACTGGATCTGACTTTGATGAGCGACCCATCACGTTGCATCTTAGGGGGGCCTTGCCTGTCCCCAGAATCGGTGCCTTCTCTCGCGCCCGACGCGGACTCGACGCGAATGAGGCGCGGACTCGACGCGGCGTCGACACGGTCTCGACACGGATCCGACGAGTCCGGCACGGACTCGACACGGACTCGATGCGGACAGAGCCACGACGAGACAGGGGCCCGCGGCAGCACCCCAGGGGCGCACGCCGGCCGAGGCCGGCGCCGGCAGGTCTTCCAAGCCGCGTCCGGCAGGCGTCCAGGCGCCCCCCGCAGCCTCTTCCTCCTCCTCCTCCTCCTCCTCCTCCTCCTCCTCCTCCATGGCCCTCCTCCATGGCCCTCCTCCATGGCCCTCCTCCATGGCCCTCTCCAATTCCTCCTCCTCCTCCTCCTCCTCCTCCTCCTCCTCCTCCTCCTCCATGGCCCTCCTCCAATTCCTCCTCCTCCTTTTCCTCCTCCTCCTCCTCCTCCATGGCCCTCCTCCAATTCCCCCATTCCTCCTCCTCCTCCTCCTCCTCCTCTCCTCTCCTCTATTCCTCCTCCTCCTCCTCCTCCCCGCCTCCCTCCTCCTTCTCCTCCTCCTCCTCCTCCTCCTCTCCTCCTCCTCCTCCCCTCCTCCTCTCCTCCTCCTCCTCCTCCTCCTCCTCCTCCTCCTCTTTCTACTCCTCCTCCTCCTCCTCCTCCTCCTCCTCCTCCTCCTCCTCTCCTCCTCCTCTTCTACTCCCCTCCTCCTCCTCCTCCCCTCCTCCTCCTCCTCTTCCTCCTCCTCTTCCTCTTCTCCAGCCCACGGAGCCACGCCTCAACGTTGCAAGTTCCATGAGCTGCGTGCGGATACTGCCTCAACGTTGCGGGTTCCATGAGCCTCTCCCTTGCCCTGGAGGCCAGCGGATCGGCGTGCCCACGGAAGCCTCTGCAGCTCTGCGGGGATTTATCGGGGCGGCGCCTGGAAAAGGTGCCCAGGCCAAGAAGAGGTGCCCACACCGCTGCCCTCCGCCCGTTTTCCCTTCTTTGCGCCTCCTGGGAGGCCCTTGGCACCATCGCCAGATTCGCCACGAATTTCTGGTCCGAACGCACCCTCCGGGGGAGGCCCAGGGAGTAGCGGTATCAGTGCCTTCTGGCTTCCCCACACAGCCTACAAGAGGTCACACGAGACGCGTCTGGGCTTTCCCTCGTCCTCCTCCTCCTCCTCCTCCTCTCTTCCTCCTCCTCCTCCCTCCTCCCCCCGCAGACCCAAGCAAGTCACGCTGCCAGGTCTGTCGAGCCGCGTCCGGCGCCGTGGCGAGTTGGGCCCCGCGGGGGCGCGGAGGCCGTGCCGCCCGGGCACACTGCGCGGGCCGCCTCCGTGTCCAGGCGACGCCTCTCCGCGCCGAGAGCATGCCGCTGCCGAGGCGCTCCGGCGGCAAACCGCGCGGCGATCGAGCGCAGCCGCACGGCTCGCTCGCCAGCAGCCGCGCGGCCTTGGGCGAGCCCTTTACAGTGGAGTCGGGCGTGTCCCTCTGCAGGAGGAATATTCAAACATAGCCAAAGAACATGGTCCGGGGGCGATTTGTGGACCATTGTTGACTGTTTTGGGGCCTTGTTTGGCTATTTGTTATTCTTCCTCCAAAATCCGCCTGTAGGGGGACATGCCCGACCGAACTTTACAATGGGTGCCCATGCCAAGAAACACCCTGCTTGCCTCCAGGGTGCCCTGGGTTTCGACGGTTTTGCAATGGAGAGCGTGACGCTCCCATGACAATAAAATCAGTGGGCGGCCTGGGGTCTCAGGAATGGGTTTCTTGTGGAAGGCTTCTTGTAGACTGGCCTCCACTGTAGTCGTTCCCTTGGCACCACGCGGCGATCGCGCGCAAACGCGACTCGCTCGCCAGCAGCTGCACGTCGTGCTGCCGAGGTCCTCAGCGCGCGCCTCTTGAACTCCTCGGCGTGCTCCTGCGTCCAAGGCCGTGGGAGGGGGAGTGCCCAGTAGCGCCGCTCGCCGCCAGTGGCCGTGTCGGGCCTCGCAGGTTCGCCTTGGGCGGCATCCTCCACGTCTGCGCCGATGCCGGCCCTGCTCCTCCGTAGAGTCTTGGGCTCTTCGGCCTGCACGTCGGGCCCCGGTGCGCGGCGTGCCAGCGAGATGCGCGCCGATCGCCGCCGTGCCTTCGGCCCGGAACCCGTGCCGAGCGCCGCTCGCCGATCTTCTGGAAGCGCATCGCCGCGAGGCCTGCACTGATGGGCCCGTTATCCACCACCACCACCATAAGTTGGAGGGGGGAAGCAGGAGGAGGAGGAGGAGGAGGAGGAGGAAGACGAGGACGAGGAGGAGGAGGAGGAGGAGGAGGAGGAGGAGGAGGACCCCCTCCCCCTCCAACTTCTGGTGGTGGTGGTGGAAAACAGGCCCATCATGCACAGCACCACAGGTGGCTGCCGACGTCCCCGACACTCGCGCGGTGGGCGCGCCTGGAGGTCTCCTGACCGTGAAGGGCGGGCGGCTCCTGACCGTGAAGGGCGAACTGCCTGGCGCGCCCTGCGGCCGCCGTGGCGTTGCGGCGACCTGCCGCGAAGCCGCCATGATCATTCCCAGCGCGATCGGGCTCCTCCTCCTCCTCCTCCTCCTCCTCCTCGTCCTTGTCGTCGGCGTCGTCGTCGTCGTAGCGTTCCTCCTCGCATCGTCTTCGCCTGCTGCATTCTCTTGCAAGGTGCTGCACGGAAGGACAGACGAAGGGGGCGGAGTTCCAAGGGAGGGAAAACCACGCGGACCCGACGATTGGCGTTTACTAAACGGCCCATGGCGTTTCCTACACAGCCCTGCCCTGTTTGATTGCTTCTTGGGTGCGTTTGCTAAACGGCCTCGCTTGTCGGGGTGGTTATCACGGGGGGGGGGGATGTTCTGCCTTCCAGAGTTGGGGAGGGGGGGAGGGGCGAGCACGACTCGGCAGCAGGGCCGTAAGCACACAGGCACAGCTCTGGCCTGGCCCGGCCTGCTGCCTCGCCCCCTTCGCTCCTCCCAGCTCCCTCCCCCCCTTGGTCCTGCCCCTGCGTGAGGCACCGTGCAGTCGAATACAGAAGACGACGACGATGACGACGACGACGAGAGGAGAAACGCCACGACGACGCCGACGAAGAGGATGGAAAAGAGCAGAAGGAGTAGGGAAGCGCCCTGCCGTGGCAGATCTCTATAGGTATGCGCGCTCTGCCGTAGCAGATCCCAACGCGTATCTGTTTTCCGAGCTGTCTTCGGCTATTCCTCAGCATTCCCTGATGGCGCCGGCGCCAACGGTGACGTTACCAGGAGGAGGCGGGGGGGGGAGGGGCCGGCAACGGCCGTTACAGCGGACAAAAACAACGCTCTCCATCTTCACGATCTTGTCGCATAGCAGTACAGCGCAGGCGACGCGGCCCGTGTACCATCCGAGCCCGTGCATGGACATTCAATTTCAGCGAGCACGAGCCTCTGGCCTGCGCCTGCAGCTCGCCCAGGGCGGCGTCGTCGGCCACGCCCGTGGCCTCGCCCCGGGGGCCGACCAGGTAGCCCTCGCGTCCTGCTTCTCAGCGCCGCCGTCCGTCCTGCCGAGGTGGTGCTCCTGCACCGCGTCCCTGGCGGCGCCGTCGGGCTCGCCCGCGGCCTGCTCCAGGCAGCCGCCCCTGCGTACCGCACCTCGGTGGCGGCGTGGGGTCCCCGAGCTGTGCGTATGCCAGGCGATCGCAAGCATTCAGCGAGCGAAAAACGGTATGAAATAAACTTTTTCGCCGTCGGGGACACCTGCCCCTGGGAGGCTGGAAAGTTTATACCCCTACGGTGCCACCGTAAGGGTATAAACTTTCCAGCCGCCCTGGGGCAGGTGTCCCCGACGGCGAAAAAGGTTATTCTATACCGTTCTTCGCCCGTTAAAGCATGGATCCACGGGGGCGTGGATAAGCGATGGGTCCCGCCTCCCTGGGAAGTCGCGGCCTCCCGCCTATCGAGCGGGACGACGCTGGCCGCACGCTCGGGGAGGCCACCTCCCCCGATCCGTGGACTTGGCGACCGCGCGCCAGATCCATGGCTGGTGACTCCATGCTTGCGCGCCCCCGAGCACGGCGCTTGGCACCACCGCCAAGAGCTGCACGAGAGCACCGCCGCCCCGCACGTGCAGCGCAGGCCGCGGGGCCACCGGTCGCCACGCCGCAGGCCTCTCGAGGAGCCCGCGCCGCCTCGCCGCGGGGGTGCCCCGCGGGCCGCCCGCCGCCACAGGGAGCTTTTGCACCGCGCCCAGGCCGAGCGCTGTGCCGCTCGAGGGAGGGTGGCGCAGCGAGGCTACCGCAGCCTTGGTTGTGATGGTGATGATGTTGATGATGACGATGATGATGATGATGGCGATGATGATGGTGATGCTGTTGATGCTGATGATGATGATGATGCTGATGATGATAATAATGATGATGATGATGGTGATGCTGACGGGGCTGATGCTGCTGTTATTGCCGATGATGGCGGTGATGACAATGATGAAGACGATGATGCTGATGATGATGATGATGATGATGATGGGGGTTGGGATGATGATGATGATGATGATGATGATGATGACGATATGATGGTGATGATGATGGTGATGATGGGGATGATGATGATGCTGATGATGATGCTGGTGGCGATGATGCTGATTATAGCGATGCTGATGGTGGTGATGATTTGGATGATAATCATCATAAGCATGCTGATGATGCTGATGATTGTGATGGTGGTGTCGATGATATTGGTGCTTACACAGATGAGGACGATAGGGAGTGAAGAAGATGATGATGATGATAATGCTGATGACGATGATGAGGAGGATCATGATGACGGTAAAAACGGTGGTGATGGTGATGATGATAATGATGGGTTCGATGATGGTGATGATGATTGTGAGGGTGGTGGTGGTGATCAGGAAAATGATGGTGATGATGATGAGGACGATGAGGATAATGATGTTGTGGATGATCATGATGATGATGGTGATGTTGATGATGGAGGTGCTGGTGATGGTGGTACTGATGAGTGTGATCATGATGGAGATGATGATGATGCTGCTGATGATGATGATGATGATGATGGGGATGATGCTGCTGATGCTGATAATGATGATGATGATAATGATCATGCCGATGCTGGGGATGATGATGTTGCTGATGATGATGATGATGCTGGTGATGCTGATGCTGCTGATGTTGATAATGGCGAGGGTGATGACGATGATGAGGATTATGATGTTGGGGATGATTATGATGCTGATGATGATGCTAATGAGGATGATTCCAGTGATGGGGATGATGACGGTGATGATTGTCATCATCAATCTGATGATGATGGTGGCATGAGTGATGATAATGATGCTAATGATGATAACGACGATGATGAGATGGTGGTGATGGGGATGATGATGATGAGGAGGAGAAGGACGACGATGGGGATCCTGGGAATGATGATGATGATGATGATGATGCTGTCGGTGATGGTGACGATGATGGGACGGTGATGCTGACGGTGATGCCGGTAGTGATGATGATGATATTGACGACGATGAAGAAATGGTTGACGATGATGACGATGATTATGATGATGACGATGCCGATGACGATGGCGATGATGATGATTTTTGATGAGGAATCATGGTGATGGTGATGATGTTGTTGCTGGTGATGATGATGATGCGGATGCTGATTCTGGTTATGATGATGGTGATGATGATGATGATTGGGATGACGATGATGGGGGTGATTATGATGGTGATGATGATGATGTTGGGGATGCTGGTGATTATTACGATGAGGAACCATTGTGATGGTGATGATGCTGCTGGTGATGATGATGATGGTGATGATGCGGATGCTGAGTTAGGTAATGATGATGGTGATGATGATGATGATTGGGATGATGGTGATGGGGGTGATTATGATGGTGATGATGATGATGGTGGTTTTGATGATGCTAATGGTGATTGTACTGGTGGTGATGATGATGGTGATGGTGGTCATGCTGATGATGATGATGATGATGATGATGATGATGTGCATGGGGCGGCTTCTGATGGTGAGGGCCAATATGATGATGATGGTAATGGTGATGGTGGTGCTGGTGCTTGTGATGGTGATTATGATGTTAACAAAGGTGTTGGTGATGATGGGGATGATGATGATGATGATGATGATGATGATGATGATGATGGTGATGGGGAGGGTTATACTGTTCTTGATGATGGTTGTTATGATGGGGATGCTGATGCTGCTGATGATGATTGCGATGATGATGAGGTGGATGATGAACATGAGGATGCTGATGGTGATGGTAATTGTTATGGTCTTTGTGGTGATCAATGATGATGCTGATGATGATGGTGATGATGGCGGTGGTGATGGTAGTGTCGATGACGATGATCATCATGGTGATGGTGGTGGAGATGGTTGTGGCGCTGGTGATAGTGATAGATGTGGCTATGGCGATGGTGATGATGATGATGATGGTGATGATGATGATTATGATGATGATGATGATGATGATGATGATGATGATGATGATGATGATGATGGCCCACCCCTCACACACTTCGTGCCCCCTTCCTTCTTCGTCCCACCTGCCTTGCGGTGGTCTCACTCGCGTATGGTTGAGCCCTTCTCCAGGGACGTGTTCTATACACATATATATACATATATATATATATATATCCGCCGACGCGTGTCACAGCGGACCTTGACCTCCGAGGGCCCCTATTGTGTTGTGCGTACTCAGAAAAAGAGGAGCTGCGCACGCTGGAGGAGAATGTGGCGGATGAGCAGGAGGACGAGCCAGGGCTTGACCCGAATGGTGTTTTGGCCAGTTCGTGGGCCGTGCTGTCGTTCGTTGTGGTTTGCATCCAAGGCGAAGCGAAGGCAGCACGAGGAAGAACGAACCACAAAACGAACACGAATCCACCGTTGCGGTTCAGCCCTGGGGTGAGCAGAAGGAACATGATGATGATGTTGATGATGATGATGATGATGATGATGATGATGATGATGATGATGATGATGTTGGGGATGATCATGATCATGATCATGATCATGATCATGATCATGATCATGATCATGATGAGGGTGGAGGGGGACAAGGGCGAACAGCAGCAGCAGGAGCTTGAGAGGGGAAGGAGCGGGAGGAGCAGGGGATAACCAGGGAGGGCGGAAGGGGGGAAGCGAGGGGTCGACAGCTATGAGGAAGGACCCGTGTCCAGAACCAATGGCCCGCGCCGGGGCGACAGCGCCATGCTGGACGACGGCAGCAACGCGCCGATCCGAACCGGGGGCCCACAGAGCAGCGGAAGCACGTTTTGAACCACCTGCAGCAATCGGACTGTATCACAAGCATGGGCAACACAATGTTTGAAATCTGGTTTCTTGAACGGCCAGGGCTATGGGGGGGAGGATATATTTATTCACAATGTGTAAGTGTGGAGGGGGAAGTGGGGAGGGGGGAGGGGGGATCTAGCATGGATCTAGCTCTCCGACGAGTCACAGCCGACTAGACTAGAGCCCGAGCGAGGACGTGCTACCATCCCACAGGCTGTCCCTGGGAGGCTGGGCCACAAATCAAAACGGTCTGCCAGTGGTGGGATGTCTGCCTTTCCGCAGGCGCCTGGGACGGCCAGCCGTTACTCGAGGATCCCCTCCTTTGCAACAACTGGAAGGCATGAGCTAGCGTACCTGGCTCACCGACCACAGCAGGTCCTCCTCGCGAGGCGTATTCTTCCATGCCACAGCTAGCGGGCTCGGTCTATCCTCTCCGACGTCGTCTTCCACCACCCTGTGGGCAGGGGTGCCGGGGAATGGGGGAGGGGCGAGGGCGCTGCTGGGGAGAGGGCGGAGGGCGCAGTGTGGGGTGGGAAGGGGACGGGATGCATGCGGAAGGCTGCGACACGAGGGGTTGGCTCCCGCATGCGAAGCCACAGGCCCTACGGAGCAGCATCTGGCATCCCAGCACGCCCACACTGTGCAAGCACTGTGGTGGATAACGAGCACATGGTCAAGCAAATGCATTCACATGGCATCATCGCTACTGAGGATGAGCGCTCGTTGTATCGCACTTGGCACGACAGGAATCCGCAGGGCTCTCTGCTGAGCAGCCAGGAGCGAATCAACATAATCCTGGAAGGGCTGCAGGCCAACCTGGATCTGGATGTCGCCAAGGACATCGGCTTGCTCGCCCAGTGGTACCCCGCCCACAGCCAAGCCTGGATCCACACGCTGCGGGAGACGTGGGCGGACGGATGGTCGAGTTTAAAGTTTGTGCAACCGGTTTGGCGGGCAATACTTCTATCCATGCCCAGTGCGATTTGGATTTTTTTGGAAGGGGCAACGCAAGGCCGAGGCGCACTGGATATGCATAACAATATAACCTTTTGGGGCCAGAATTCAATCCATATCCAGTGCGCCTCATGTGTCTGGGGAAGAGAGTCCGAAGCTCCAAGACGCACTGGATGAGGATATAGACATTGCCCGCAGGTTTCCCTCCTGAACGACTACTTTGGCTCGCAGGTGGCCTTCAACTTTGCCTGGCAGGGGCTCTACTGCAAGGGTCTCGTTGCCCTTTCCGTCGTGGCTGTCGTGGTGGAGATGCTGAAAGCGCTTCCGCCGGTCCTGGTCGGCGTAACGATCATCAACGTCAGGGTCATGCTTCCTTTCAGTCTGGTTCTCGCCATCTGGGCGCGGCTCATGGCTAATTTGTGGGAGCGCGAGGAAGAATATTTCACTCATCGATGGGACTTGCACGTTGGAAAAATCACACGGGTTCAGCGTCCAAGCTTCAGGGGCGAACTGTATCAGTCTGACGTCGATGACACGCTGATGGACGACAGAATGTCCTGGGGCGAAGCGTTCCGCCGGAAATCCTTTTCCATGTGCGTCACCTTGAGCTGTTGTTGTTTTGTCATGTGTGTCATCAGCACTTGGATCTACACGCATGGTGGAGATATGGACCTGGCGTCGAACCTGGCACTTTCCCTTTTCATTCAAGACGCTTCGCGTTCACCGCCCGCCCATTCCAGTTCTCGCCGGACGAGGCGAAGACGGCTCCATGACGGGAGAAACATAGGCAGGAATTCATACAAGTCGTGTGCTTGGTTGTTGTTGTCCCGAGTTCTCTCTTCCTATGCTATCGCCTACTATGCTCAGGCATGCCTCGTGGCTATTCGACAGTAGGTTCGTCGTACTTGGTGTCGAACCTGGCACTTTCCCTCTTCATTGAATTGCTTCGCCCATTTTCCGCTGGCCTATATTGCACCACTGTTGCTCTATGCTGGTGTGCCCACGGCGGGCGAGGAGGGCAGGGGATTCAAGGTAGGAGAAGAAAGAGAAAGAGGAGGAGGAGGAGGAGGTGGAGGAGGAGGAGGAGGGGAAGGAGGAGGAGGAGGAGGAGAAGAAGGAGGAGGAGGAGGCCTCTCGACGGCTTCTTGGGGCACTGGAGACCATGCCGTCTCTTGGGAAGCCTCTCGGGGGCCTCTTAACGACATCTGTGATATCTCCTGTAACCTTTTGGGGGCCCCGCGGGGCATCCCTTGAAGCTTCTGGGAGTATCTTGAGGTCTTCTCGGGGGGACCAGACTTCGGGGAAGCCTCGATCTGACCGTTCGGGTTTCCATCTTGGGGCCTGAAGTCGGGCACGTCCCTCTAGAGGAGAAGTCTTCAACAATTGTCAAAAATTGGTATGGGAACGTTGTTCCGTATTTTTCGACTTTCCCGTATTTTGGGACTATTGTTTGTTTCTTTCCAAAACCCGCCTGGAGGAGGACATGCCCGACCTAATGAAAGCCTTTGGAGTCACTTGAGGTGGCCGCTTTGGCCGTCGTAGTGCCCCCTTGGGCTGTCTCGGGGCCGTCCTGGCAGCCTCGAGCCTCTTGGGCTGACCTGGGGCCATCTTGGAGGCCTCGTGGGCCGTCCTGGGCGCCTCTTGGACTGACCCGGGCCGATCTTAGAGAGGCCTCCTGGGCCGCCCTGGGCGATCGGAAGCTTGAAAAGGCTGCAACGCCAAAGTCATTCGAACATGCCGGGCAAAATCAATGGATTTCACCTCCTCCGGTTCTCCTGGGGTCGTCTTGGAGCCCTCATGGGGCGATTGGGGCGCCTCTCTTGGGCCGTCTTGAGGCCAACCTGGGCCATCTTGGAACGCTCTTCGCTTGGGGCCCTGGGGCCTGCCACCTACTTCGCGACTCCTGTAGGGGACCAGATGCGAGCCCTACCCCTACCCTCCACGATTTCTGAGGGGGAGGGTGGGGTTCACTTCGTTCGAAAGCTCCCGAATTAAGTGAACCCCACCCTCCCCCTCGGAAATCGTGGGGGGTAGGGGTAGGGTTCGCATCTGGCCCGCTATCCTGGGCGTTCCTGGGGCGCTCTGGGCCCCCCAAGGGCCGCGCTCGGGAGTTTCGGCAGTTGTTGCCCGACCCCGCCTGGGACCCGCCGCGACCTTGCAGGGGTGTCGTTCCTCCAGGGGCCCCACGGGCCGCCACGCGCGCGCGCACGGGAAACTTCCTCTGCAACTCTTACCGTGGATTTTGGTACGCCTCTGGCCCGTGGGGCTGGCGAGTGAAGCTTGCGTGTGCCAGCCCGCCGGCCTCCAGAAGAGAGGATCCGTGGCGTTGTCTCGGGTGGGGCTTCCGCGGAAGCATCCTGCAGCCCCTGCTGGCCCCCCCTGCCGCAGGCTTACGGCTTGCTGGGGCCACCCAGGATCCCCATCGCTTGGACCACCGCGGGCCTTGGGATCCGCCTTCCTGGGTCATTTTTGGGTCCTGGGGGCGTCGCGTCCGGTTTGGACTTCTCCTATGGCCTGGGCGGGTGCGATGAGGAACTCCCATCTCGCCCACCCACCCACCCTCCCCGCATACGGTATTTTAGATTCCTGTGGAGGGGGGACGAGGGGGAGGGGGTCAGCCAGGACTCTCACTCGCCTGGTGCAGGCCAGGGTCCACGGATCAAGATTTCTGAGTTCTGCTACAATGCGCTATCCACTAATCTTGCGCAGTTCGAGAACCATAAGTACGAGGACTCTTTTCATGACTCCTGGGTGTGGCTTCAATTCCTTTTCCAGGCGATCAACAGCTACTGGGCTGTCGTCTCCATCGCCATCAACCAGCTGTGGTCTGGCCGCTGCGTCAACGAATTGTGCCTTCAGAGGCTGAAGGAACAGACAACATTGCTGATGCTGATACTGCTCTCTTGCAGCGTGGCGTTCTCTGCCATCGAGCTGGCACTCGTACGTGTCTCCCTCGAGCTGGAGGACCGCAACCTCAAGCGCCAGTTGGGCAGGGAGGAAGCCATGAAGAGAGCGAGCCAGCGGTCGTTCCTGGAGGAGCAGGCGAAGTACCGATCGTTTGAGACGAAAGAACAGATCGAGAACACGCTGCAGCTCGTTCTCGCCCTCGGTTACGTGCTGCTCTTCGGCACGCTCCAGCCTCTGGTGGTCCCTCTGTGCCTGGTGCACTTTGCAGTCACGCTCCGCGTGCGGGCTGCGCTACTGACGCGGTACGCGAAGAGGTGCGTGCCGCACAAGCTCGTGGGCATCGGCGCCTGGAAGCGTGTGGTCTACATCCTCATGAACACTGGTATATTTTTCAGTGGGTTTCTCTTGGTATACTGGGGCCGCTTCTTCAAGGGCGGCGCCCTCGTTGCAAAACTCACTGGCATGATCCTGTGGTTTATAGTCGTTCATGGCCTGTGGTTTGTGGTGGACCTGTTCGTGCCAACGACGTCCGGCGATCTGAGCGTGCTCGAGAGGCGCCGCAGGCACGTGGAGCGGATCGTGATGGAGGCCTCCATGCACAAGCACATGGGAGCGAATCTCTCTGCGAGGTCCGCCAGGTCCCTCATGTCCCTCGAGAGTGTCGCCGATTCCGTGGCGAGCGCCCACGAGCAGCTCATCACCCAGAGGTCGAGGCGTCTCGGTCACATTCGCCAGCTTGGCCGAACCACCGGCGACGAGGACGTCGCACCCGATGACGAGAGGTGCGCCCGGCTCGTGGCGGCGAGGCAGTGGTCCAGCATCCCAATGTTTGTCTGCGAGGTGGAGGGTTTTTCCGAAGGGCTTCGGCGACCCGTCCTCCTCCTTCTCCTCTTCCTCCTCCTCCTCCTCCTCCTCCTCCTCCTCCTCGAGTGCAAGCCACCTGCCCGAACTGGTAGGGAGTATCTTGACTGTATCAGCCGAGGCCTCACGCCCAAAGCTCTCGGCAAGGCTGAGGAGTCGGTTAAGCCCTACCTTCCTCTGACTCGCTTCGCGAGAGATCTGAATCTCTGAACCTCCCTCCTCCTCCTCTTCCTCCTCCGCCTCCTCCTCTATCTCCTCCTCCCCCTCCTCCACCTCCTTCTCCTCGGGTCGCTTGTGGCCCCGTGGGAAACCGTGCACTGCGAGGTGGCTGAGCGCACGAAGACCAGCGACGGTCCCGCGAAGGAGGCGTAAGGCGGGCTTGGCTCCAATCCGAGCGCGACTGCGCTTCAAGCAGCGGCCTGCCCGACCGGACGGGAATCGCTAGGGCAACCCAGAGCACCTTTGCACGTTTGTTGGAGAGGTGGATGAACGAGAGTAGACAGAATTTTGATGGCTCAGAGAAGGACGTTGACTTGTATGCCGTGAATGTCGGGCGACAGCACGTAGAGCCCAGATTGGGGATCCTTGTCACCTCGAGGCCTCTCGGGAGTGACGCCCTGGCTTTGTTTCTAGGCCTCCCAGATGGGGTCGGAGTAGATTGGGTCGGAGGATCGCGCCGCATCGCCGCTGCATCGCCGATGTATCGCCGATGCAGCCGATGTATCGCCGATGTATCGGCGATGCGGCGCGATCCTCCGACCCCATCTACTCCGACCGCATTTAGGAGTCCTCTTTATGGTTGGCTGGCACATTCGGGATCTGCTCCTCGTCCTCCTGTCCCTGCGGCGCCGCTCTCTCGGGTCTCCTGTGGGGCATGTCCTCACGGAGGCCACTCCCGAGGACTCGGGATTCGGGGATGGCAATCCGAGGCGCCAGCTGCGGCAACACACGCACGCACGCACGCACTCACGCACACACACACGCGCACGCGCACGCGCACGCGCACGCGCACGCGCACGCGCACGCGCACGCGCACGCGCACGCCCAC